GTATTTTGTGATATGCTTACTATATCTGTACACTTACTATATTTGTGTGAAAAGCCTAATCCCTCTCAATAAATTAGAATGTTATTCACCTAATTCACCTAATTCATACACCTCCCCTTCATTTGCACAATTGTGTGGAAATTTCTGCTAGTTCTCAATTCTATTTCCTTTATAGTCACAGGAAGAAAACATAAACTCATGTAAAGTTTCTAGGTGTTTGTTTACTTTCTGGAGTATTATCAATCTCTGACTTCTATTTATCTTAGTCATTTTTGTCTCCTCTTTTTATTTGTAAAGAGTCTTTAAAAAAACTGATTATTATTACTGCACATGCTTCAATTGCTCAAATTTTTCTTTCCTTCTCTCACATTTGTCCAAACCCTTAAAGTTGTCTGAGACTTCCCATATCTCAGATCATATTATGCTTTAATCTCCTGGAAGGTCCCTGGTTACTTCTTGTATTTGATTCTGGTCATGCACCTACTTCTTTTTTTTATCTTTTGTCTCTTTTTTTTTTTAACCATGAGATGAGCAGAATATTCCTTATGTAAGCAGGCATACTTTAAACAATGCTTCTCTATCAAAATGATTGCTTGGAGCTCCACAGTCAGAATTTCTTTTTATTTCATACCTTTTCATTTAAAAGTGTTTACTAAAGCTAAATTAACTTTTAGCTTCTGACTCAGGACTGTGATATCATTTCCTGGTCATTCTCTGAAGTCTGCCCTCCTAGGTGAGACCACATAGAACACATCGGTAACACGACTCAGCTTCAGAGTCTAATGTATTTGGTGAACTTGGGCAAGCTATGTAACAAATTAGTGCTTCTGTTTCATCACCCATAAAGTTGAAATGATAGAATAATATGTCATAGTGGAGTATTAAATGAAGTAAAATATGTAAAAGTCTTAATAAAGTGCCTGGCACAAGATGGTGTAAATTAGCATTATGGTTTGAGAACCATTTTGGGCAATACTATAGTGAATCTTTGGAATTTGCTTCTGTTTTTCCAAAGTTCTCATTGCCTTATTAATCTGTTTCCCCCTATTTGAAGAAGAGTTTAAAAATCTGCCTCCCAGAGGCCTCCCTGGTGGCGCAGGGGTTAAGACGCAACCTATGAAGCTAGCTGCAGCCACGGCAGCAGGAGTTCGATCTCTGGCCAGGGAGCTACCCACATGGCACAGCAGACCTCTCCTGACTCGCCCGCTGCTCCCCTCGGCAGTGTATTTCAGTCAATCTGCTCCCCACTCTGTCTCTGGTGAATCCTCTCACACTGCCCCCCCCACATACTTCTGACCTGTACCCCAGCTCTTGTATACATAACCAAATAAATCTTTAAAAAAAAAAATCTGCCTTCCAGGCTGCATATTGTGTACTGCACAACTTCAAGGCAATGTTCACGTCGATGGTAGTGAGGCTTAAAGAATCGTCTTAGAATTGTGTAACCGGCATTGTTCCTTCTACTAGTTCCTGAATGATGAAACCAGGAAAAAGGCAAGACAAGACTTTCTCAGTCCCCCTGCCTTAGGCAGTATAAACTTTTTATAAAGTTGTCTTCACACTCAAGGTCTACTTCGATGGAGGAAGTAGAAGCCAAATTGGAATTAGCCCTAAAGGGAAGGAGGAAGGGAGTGGCTGATGCACGAATTGGGAGGTGGTGAGGATTTATGTGTAAGTAACACCTAGAGTTGGTTCGAGATTCTTCACCTTCCTGTGTGCTTAATTACCACTCTTGTCATTTCAACCTGTCACACTCAGGCTGTGTGAGACTAATGGATTCTGTAGATTCCAGTCCTGCAGATGGATAATAATGAGTCTAGCTGGTTTTGCTTCAATTTCTTAGGATCCTCTAATGATATGTCTATATAGGAAATGAGTAAACTGCTCTATCTCTCAGATGTGTTATATTTTTCTGGGTTTCATAATAAACTCTTTTAACATTAACCCTGTGGAGGCTTACTTTGCTTTAGGTAGTCTCTGAGTTTTCCACAGCCACGGACAAGCGTAAGTTTCCATGAAGGGTAAGGGTTCTCAGAGCTGCACAGTTCACCAGTTCAGAGAGATGGCAGCTTTGAAGAGCTGACCATGTTTGCTTTACAGCTGTCACTGTGCAGTTTGATAAGAATGGTATTTTGAGATTTTTTTTGAAAGCAAGCCTTATTGGGGGCACAGAGGGTTAAGATGCAACCTATGAAGCTATCTGCAGCCACTGCAATGCGAGTTTGATCCCCGGCCAGGGAGCTACCCACATGGCGCAGCAGACCTCTCCTGACTCAACTGCTGCTCCCCTTAGCAGTGTATTTCAGTAGATCTGCCTGTTCTGTTCCCCGCTATGTCTCTGGTGAATCCTCTGACCCCCCACACCTATGGATTGTACCCCACTTCTTTATGAATAAATAAATCTTAAAAAAAAGAGAAAGCCTTATCAACTAATGAGTTGGTGCATTATTTTTATTAACTCTTAACAAGGTGCTGGTTTTCCTGTTTTCCCTTGCTTTGCTTTCTATGTCCAGTAAAGTGGAAAATGGACTCAGTCTCTAAATAAGATGGTAATTTCAAACTACAATAGAGCAAACAGGTGTTACAAGTCTCCAATCCTTGACCACTTATGATATCTTAAGATTTTAATAATGAGACCAAAACCAGTCCTAAGGGGCCTATGTTGACATGTTCCTAGAGCCTGTCCAGGTTGGTAAGAGAGTTGTACCTCTGGCTAGTGATGGAAATATAATCCACATATAATTTCTTTTCAGTCCACTGATGTATGAATTACATTGATTGCTTTTTGAAATACAGACCCAACGTTATTTCCTTGGAATAAACCCTACTTGGTCATGGTGTGGAATTCTTTTTGTAGATCACTGAATTCTATTTATTAATATTTTTAAGGATTTTTGTGGTTATATTCATGAGGAATATTGGTCTGTAATTTTCTTTTTTGAACTCTCTTATAGGGTTTTACTATGGGTAATAATAGCTTCATAGAATGAATTGGAAAATGTTCTCTCCTCTTCTATTTTCTGAAAGAGATTGCTTAGAATTAGTGTTTATTCTTTGGTGAATAAATATGGGACTGAAGATTTTTTTGGGGGGGGGAGATTTTAAATTACACATGCAATTTCCCTAATAAATATATGGCTACTCATAGGATCTGTTTTATAGTGAATGAGTTGAAATTGTTTTTTTGAGCATTTGCATAATTTCACATAAATTTTGTGCATGTAGAATTCCTTGTAACATTCCTGCATTAGCCCTATGGGTGACTACAGGGTCTGTAGTGGGACCAAGTGATTTGTTCCACATATTCACTCTTAATTAGTTTGTCTTTCTTTTTTTTTTTTTACTTTTAAGTCTTCCTAAAGATTTGCCCATCTTATTTTTTAAAAACTCTTTATTTATTGACTTTGATGGTTTTTCTGTTTTCAATTTCATTGGTTTCTGCTCTTCTTTTATTATTTCTCCCAGCTTTGGCTTCTTTTGATCTTCTTTGCTTGGTAGGCACTTAGGCTACAGATTTGAGACTTTTCCTCCTTTCTAATGTAAGGATTTAGTGCTATAAGTTTCATTCTCAGCTCTTAGTCCTCCTCTCCTCACCCCCTCCGCACCCCTCCCCAGTTTGGATAGGGTGGGTTTTCGTTTCCTTCAATTTCTCTTTTGATTTTCCTTTCGGTTTCCTCTTTGACTCATAGATTACTTGGATGTGTGTGACTCAGTTTCTAAGAGTTTGGAGATTTTCCTATTATTTTTTTGCTGTTGATTAGCATTTGACTAATGCTAGAGTCAATCTGAGCATTAGAGTCAATCTGAGCATTAGAGTCAATCTGAGCGCCAGAGTCAATCTGATAGTGAAAGAATAATGAAGAAAAATCATTTGCTAAAAATTATAATCCATTCACAATAAGAAGTCTCAGTGAAAGCGAGGGAACCTTATTTAGCTTGATAAAGAGGACCTACAGGGCCTCCCCTGGTGGCGCAGCGGTTAAGCGCTGGGCTGCGAAGCTGACTGCAACCTCTACAGCGCCGGTTCGATTCCATGCTGCTCCGGGTCCCACAAGGCGCGCAGACCTCTCCTGCCGCCCACTGCTCCCCTCAGCAATGTACCTCGTCAGACTGCCTGTTCTGCTCTCTGTTCTGGCTCTGGTGAATTCTCTCACCCTCCCATGCTTCTGACTGTACCCAGTGCTTGTATAAATAAATCTTAAAAAAAAAAAAAAAAGAGGATCTGCAAATATGCTACCAGTACACTATAATGTTAACAGTGAATTTTTCTCCCTAAAATTGGGAATAAAGCAAGTTTTCTCTCAGCAGTTTTATTCCCTTTAATTTCAAGACATTATAAAATTACAGTAATCAAGATGTTTTGGTAGTGCTGTCAAGATAGATATATTGGCCAAGGGAACAGAGTGGAAATTTTAGAACTAGACCAGCATATTTATGATATTTATTTTCAACAAAACACAAAGGCAAATTATTGGTGATAGTTTTTTCCACAAATGGTGCTTGAATTTCAGTTATCCCTCTGCACACACACACACACACACACAAAGACAAAAAAAAAAAAAACAGGCCTCTGGCCGCTCCCGGCCGCCCCCTCCACTCAGGCTCCTCCTGAGGGAGGAGGGCGGGGTTCTGGGTGCTGTTTCGCTGCTTCTCGGTCACCTCTCCCGCCGGATTTACAACCTCACCTCACTCTCCACTTTCTCCTGTAGGGGCGGGTTGCCCCAGAACTTACCTAAGCTCACCCCGTTATTTAGTCAGGGAAAATGAGGCCCAGAGAGGAGCCATTGTATAAAGATTGAGCCTGAAAGGAAAACCTTGGGTCTCCAGACTCCAGGAAACAGGAAGGTCCATCTGTACTGTGGGCCCCGGCCTGAACATGCGTGCCAGGCACTGCTCAACTTAACAACCATGCTTTTGTTGGATCTTCACCACAACCCTTATGAGTACAAGTGAAGATATAGACGCTGTCAGCATACTGGAAAACTGAAGGAGGCATTCGTGTTCCATTTTACAGATTGGATAAACTCAGCAAGCTAATAGCAAGATGTCTTCAGGAAATGCCAAAATTGGGCACCCTGCCCCCAACTTCAAAGCCACATCTGTAATGCCAGATGATCAATTCAAAGATGTCAGCTTGTTTGACTACACAGGAAAATACATTGTGTTCTTCTTGTACCCTCTTGATTTCACCTTTGTGTGCCCCACAGAGATCATTGCTTTCAGTGACAGAGCAGAAGAATTTAAGAAACTCAACTGCCAAGTGATTGGTGCTTCTGTGGATTCTCACTTCTGTCACTTGGCATGGATCAATACACCTAAGAAACAAGGAGGACTAGGACCCATGAACATTCCCTTGGTGTCAGACCCCAAGCGCACCATTGCTCAGGACTGTGGGGTTTTAAAGGCTGATGAAGGCATCTCATTCAGGGGCCTTTTTATCATTGATGATAAGGGTATCCTGTAAATGACCTCCCTGTTGGCCGCTCTGTGGATGAGACTCTGAGACTAGTTCAGGCCTTCCAATTCACTGACAAACATGGTGAAGTGTGTCCAGCCAGCTGGAAACCTGGTAGTGATACCATCAAGCCTGTAGTCCAGAAGAGCAAAGACTATTTCTCTAAACAGAAGTGAGCCCTGGACCATTTTTAGGGCCAGGCTGCAGTGAGCAGTCCTAAGAACCAAACTTCCTGTTATTGTCATGCTTAAAACACACCTTAGACTCAGCTCAGATATGGTATGGGACAGGACAGGTCTTTCCTACAGGGGTTGGGAGGGCCTGCCTTTCTTCCCTTGGAGAGATTGGTCTTAGTTGTGCTGTGGGGTAGGCCAACTGATGTGTATAGTAGAGTCATCACTTTTGATCTTTTGTAGTTTTATTAAACTTAAACTGAGAAAAAATAAAAAACAAAAACAAAACAGAGTTGATCCATAACTTGTATCATATATGAAAATTAGCTCAAAATGGATCCTTGATATAAATAGAAAATCTAAAACTTCTAGAAAGAAATATAGAAAAAAAAATCTTTGTGATTTTGGATTAGACAGAGATTTTTTAAATCAAATCAATATTAACTCAAAGAAAAATTAAAAAAAATAGATAATAAGCTCACCTAGGGTAATAAATTCTCACATGGATACCAAAAAAAGAAAACAAAAAGAAAAGAAAAAGAAAATCCCCAAAATTCAATACCAAAAGCACAATCCATAAAAGAAATATTTTAAAATTGGACTTCACAAAAATTAGAAACTTCTCTTTGAAAGACATTGTTTAAGAGAAAAGAGAGAATATATTTTTACATATATTTGCATTATTCCTGATTAAGGTATGCATCTAGAATATATAAAGAACCCCCAATAACTAGGGAACAAAAATCCAATTAAAAATGAACAAAATATGTGAACAGAGAGATCACCAGGAAAGATGTATTGTCAATCAGCATAAGGAAATATGCTCAATATGTTCATTAGCCATCAAGGAATTAGAAATGTAACATATTGTATGTCAGTTTTGCCTCAATAAAGCTGTTAACAAAATAAGATATATTTATATTCTTACTTGCCAAGATTTGAAATCACTTATGTTTTCAGGAGACTTCCTCTTTACTAAGGTCATGTAGGAATTGTAAGGACTGCTATGGTGAGGGAACCTTTCACCCCCACCTCCTTGCTCCTGCTCTTGAGCTCTCACACTTGGGCTTACCTCAGAGACAACCTAATCACTCTTCTCTCCTACAAATCGGATTTTGCCCCAGAGACAAGCGAAACACCTTAGGGCTCTGTAATCACCTTTCAAAAGCACCTTGTCTTTATATTCCCATCTGGAATGCTGCCCAAAATTGGGACATAAAAAGAAATGCCTAGCTTTGACGTGGAAGGACATTTCTGCTTTTATCAGTGCTGGGAGTCCTTTCCCCTCTTGGAAATTCACCTTTATTCCTCAACTTGAGGACCAATCAAAAACCTGCTGAGAATTTGCCCTTTAAGAGCCAATAAAACACAAAGACCCTTTCAAATAATTTGTCCTACTCTTGGGCATGATCACATTTCAGAACTTTGAGGCCTATCTGAATCTAAAATTCAAACTGCAGGGCCTCCCTGGTGGCGCAAATGGTTTAACGCAGCATTGTGAAGCTGTCTGCAGCCTCTGCAGTGTAGATTCAATTCCCAGCCGGCCAGGGAGATACCCACATGGCATGGCAGACCTCTCCTGTCTCGCCCGCTGCTCCCCTCAGCAGTGTTTTTGGTCTGCCTGTTCTCCCCTCTCTGTCTCTGGCCTGTATACCCCAGTTCTTGTATAAATAAATAAATCTTTAAAAAAATTAAAAAAATAAAATTCAAACTCCATCCCTAAATCCTTTTGGGTATAATATTTATTGATAAAATATTTCTAAATTTCTGTCTGGTGAAGGTACAGTAATTGGTAGATAATTGAGGGTTTATTGTGGTTACTCATTTGGGTTTGTTTTGTTTTCTTTTGACAATGATTAAAGAGCTGGTAGGAATTCAGAGCCATCACTTCAGAATTAATTCTCATTATTCAGTTGAGAAAGAATCCATGTCAGTATCTGCAGAAGAGATCAACTACAGCTATCCTCTCAGGTGCTGGCATTTTGACAGTCTTTGGATTTGTGCTTCAACTATTTTGTTTCTCTCAAAAGCAGTGCTGGAAAATGTTATTTAATAAAGTTCCCAGTTACTTGAGACTTCACTATATCTTTATCCTGAATCTTTATTCTTAGATAACAGCAAATAGGTAAACTGTTTGGCTCTTCATGAAGAAAGTTTACAAGTTTCTCAATGTCAGGGACAATGTAAAGAGAATTCACAAGTAAACTAAAAAAAAAAAAAAAAAAGAACATTAATAATCTCAATACATCTCAGCTGCACAAAATTTCATAAGGTATAATCTAGATTGTACAAAAATGTTATAGAAATTCCAGTATTTCTTATCAGATCTCTTAACTTTCTGAAAACATTCCGAGTGAAGTGGCATTAGTTTTTGGATGAAAAGGGCTATCCTCTGGCTCTATAACCTTCATCAAATAGTTAATTTGGGAGTGTGACTTAACTTATTTGTGTGGTGGTTAAGTTTACTTATGTAGAGTAAGGAAAAATGTCAGGCTTTTCTGCCCTCCCGCCATCAGGATAGATGATGGATCCTTGCGGTCCTGAATACATGCCTGATGGCGGGCACCTGGAATAGGGTGTGGGCATAGGTAGATGGGATTCACCTGGGCTAAGACTGGGCTTTGAAGGGCGGTGTCACGGGGACGCCAGGAGAAGCCAAAAGAGAAGCTGAGAAAGAAGCAGCAGAAGCTGAGAGAGAAGCAGAGAAGGCCGGAGAGATCAGATAGAGTGAAGACTTGCTGGGGGCTGGGAGGCCTGCCAGCACCCTGCCTGCTGTGTACTGGGTAAATCCCAATAAAAGCCTGCAAAAAGCCACTGAGGACTCTGACTCCTCCTTTACCCGGTCAGCTGGACCAGAAAACCTGCATTGTGACTCTTCCCGCCCCTACAACGTGTCAACATGATGGGTCATATTATCCCTAGATATTTTGTCAATAATGATTCTGGATCTGTCTGGGAGAGTGTTTCTGGATGAGATTTCATTTGAATCAGTAGAGTAAATAAAACGTATTGCTATCTCCCTATTGTGGCCTGAAGTTGAAGGTCTGAACAGAACAAAAATGCTCAGCGTCCTTTAAGTAAGAGAGATTTCCTTCTGCCATTAAAACTGGGACATCAGCTTTTTTCTGCCTTCAGATTCAAACTGAAATATCAGTTCTCCTTGGTCACAGGCCTCAGACTATACCATCTACTCTCCTGGTGTACGGTCAGGACACAATGCAGGTTTTTTGATCCAGTAGACCAGGAAAAGGAGGAGTCACAGTCCTCAGTGGCTTTTTTTTTTTTAAAGATTTATTTTATTTATTTATACAAGCACTGGGTACAGTCAGAAGCGCGGGAGGGTGAGAGAATTCACCAGAGCCAGAGCGGGGAGCAGAGCAGGCAGGCTGACAAGGTACACTGCTGAGGGGAGCAGCGGGCGGCAGGAGAGGTCTGTGCGCCATGTGGGACCCTCCTCCGGTGGCCGGGGAGCAGTCGGGGATTGAACTGGCGCTGCAGAGGCTGCGGGCAGCTTCGCAACCCAGAGCTCAACCGCTGCGCCACCGGGGAGGCCCCCTCAGTGGCTTTTGCAGGTTTTTTATTTAGATTACCAGGTACACGGCAGGCAGGGGTGCTGGGGGGCCGGGAGGCTGGCAGGCCTCCCAGCCCCCAGCAAGTCTTCCCTCTTTCTGGGCTCTCCGTCCTTCTTTCTGTTTCTCTGCTTGGCTTCTGCTGCTTCTTTCTCGGCTTCTTTTTCGGCTGCTGTTGGCGTCCCTGTGATGCCGCCCTTATAAGCCCGGTCTCAGCCCAGGTGAATCCCATCTACCTATGCCCACACCCTACTCCAGGTGCCCGCCATCAGGCATGCATTCAGGACCGCAGGGTTCCCTCATCTATCCTGATGGCGGGAGGGCAGAAAAGCCTGACATTTTTCCTTACCTGGGTCCCCAACTTCCTGTCTCATCCTGTATGTCTTGGGCTTGTCAGTCTCCGTAATCATGAGTCAGTATCCTGTAATAAATGTCTTCATGTTTATATACAATCCCTATTGCCTCTGTTTCTCTGGTGGTCCCTGATAGATTAAGTTTTCCTCATATCCTCTTGGAGCTTGTAGGGCAGGATGGGTCACAGAGCAGGTTTTCTAATGATCCCAGCAGACAGGGGTAAAGGAGGAGTCAGAATCCTGGAGCCCTCAGTGGCTTTTGCAGGCTTTTATTGGGATTTACCGGGTACATGGCAGGTAGGGGTGTGTAGGGTAAAGAAAATATCAGGCTTTTCTGCCCTTCCGCCATCAGGATAGATGATGGATCTTTGTCCTGAATGCATGCCTGATGGCGGGCACCTGGAGTAGGGTGTGGGCATAGGTAGATGGGATTCAGCTGAGCTAAGACTGTGCTTTTTTAAGGGCGGCATCACGGGGACGCCAGCAGCAGCAGCAGAAGCCGAAGCAGAAGCTGAAAGAGAAGCCGAGAAGCAGCAGAACGAACGCTAGAGAGCCCAGATAGAGTGAAGACTTGCTGGGGGCCTCCAGACTGGCTGGCAGGCCTCCCAGCCACCCCCAGCCAGCACCCCTGCCTGCCATATACCTGGTGAACCCCAATAAAAAAACCTGCAAAACTACTGAGGACTCTGACTCCTCCTTTACCCGGTCTGCATGGGATCAGAAAACCTGCACTGTGGCCTGTCCTGCCTCTACAGGGTGCTCGGGGGCCGGGAGGCTGGCAGGCGTCCCAGCCCCCAGCAAGTCTTCACTCTTTCTGGACTCTCTGGTGGTCTCTGCTGCTCTCATGGTTCTGCTTCTCTTCTCTTCCATTCATTTTGTTTCTCCTTCTCTGCTTCTGCTGGTGTCCCTGTGACAGCGTCCTTAAAAGCCCAGTCTCAGCCTAGATGAATCCCATCTATCTAGGCCCACACCCTACTCCAGGTGCCTGCCATCAGACATGTGTTTAGGACCGCAGGATTCCGTCTTCTATCATGATGGTGGGAGGGCAAAAAAGCCTGATACTTTTTTTTTTTTTTTTAAAGCCTGATAGTTTTTACCTTACCCTACAGAGCTTACGAAATCATGAGTATTTATTAGTTTCTCTGATCTTGTTTCTCCTATCTCACTCAACAATATAGCATGTGGAATAGGCCGTTTCAGGAGAAGACCAATGATTCCAGAAGGCCTTGCTCTGGCAAAAGCCACTTCTCCTGCATTAGCTCCAGGAAAAAGTTCCTATTCAGAGTAAAACCAAAAACCTCACGTGGGACCTGGAAAACAGCCCATTTTTCCAGTGCCAAA